TCAAGTGGGTTCCTGAGAACAGTGCCATTGTGTGGTCCATCAAGTCTTTTCCAGTAAGCTCATTGATTGTGAACATCTCTGGGAGGAAGGCCAACTATGTAAAAAAAAAAAAAGCTGTATGCATTTTATTTCCAAAGGAACTTTGTGTAGAACGGTTCTTACTCTGTAGCTACCTAACTGTTCAGCGCATGTTTCATTAGCTCATTTCAAAAGAATTTCACCCTGCCCAGTGAGGTTTAGTCCACTTCCATTGATCCCATGGAATTGTCTATCACACTGGATAGAATTGCACAGATTTTGTGGAACGGATGGTTATTCTTCAGCTCTTTGGCACGAGAAGCCCTGAGAGGTGGGATAAAATGAAATTCGACTCTCTGCTAACTTACAGGGAGGGAAGGAGTACTTGATGAGGGCCCATTTTGGGCTCCCAAGTGTGGAAGCTGAGGACAAAGAAGGGAAACCACCCATCAGTGTGAAGTTTGAAATCCCATATTTCACCACATCTGGAATTCAGGTAAGAAGGCTATCGTTTTGGGTCTCTTGCCAGCCTATATGGGCTTTTAGTGATCTTGTCCACTCTCTGTGCTTCACGCTTCTCCTTTCGTCCCACCCCTGTGAATGTGGGAAGCAAATGGACTTCTTCAGACAGAGGTTGAAGTTTTACTTGTGTTCCTTTCCAGGTTCGTTATTTAAAAATAATTGAGAAGAGTGGCTACCAGGCATTGCCTTGGGTCCGCTACATTACCCAGAACGGAGGTATGTGAAAAGACACTTTGGTTATTAGATACCTTCAAGTGGCCTTGCAGCCACAAAATGAGGCTGGTATATCAAGTGGTTTACCTGGTGGGCGTCACATGCTGTATGGATGATTTCCATGTGCTTGCAGTAAGAATGAGGTCTAGTTGGGGCTGAATTTGGTTAAGAAACCAGAGCTCTTATCATGTGTTTCTCCTGGGATAAGGAATGTGATTATTTGTGCCAGAAGTTTCTTAAGTAAAACAAGGCACGCCATACATCTTAAAATTTAAAATAGAAGATGGAAATATATGTGTTAGACAGTTCTTACCCCAAAACTAGCAACATTAATTACGCAATTATTTAAGGGATGGGATGGTTAGTATATAGCTGAGCATAGTTTTTAGAATTAGATGATCCTATGTAAAAACAACAGGGAAAAAGTAAGGTCAGGGGTAGATGATTAGAACTTAGAGTAGCAATGGAGAAACCATTTTCAGTTTCTTGCTTGATCAGGGAATCCACGGGTTTTTTTTGGACTAGTCACTTTTCCCCAGTCTACCCTAATTGTTGCTGTTGTAAAGATGAAACAAGAGGCAATTTTTCACATGCCTCTTTCATTTCCATAGAAAAAAGGCTGGATGCAGTGGTAAGAAATGAACACGTTTAAAAAAGAAGGAACGGAAGGGCTCTCTGTGTATAGCTTCATAGCTCTTCATCACCGAGTTCATTCAATTTTCTTTTCATCCTAGATTATCAACTGCGAACACAATAACGTCAACTCAGTTACTGTTGCCAAGAAAGTAACCAATATCCCTGGTCAGAAACATGTTTGGTGCTTGAGGGTATGGGCCAAGGTTGTCTTGCTGGCTGGAAGTGGAATCAGGCTGTGTCCCATATCCAGATGTACTTGGACCAGTGTTTAGTGCAGACCTCATGAATGTTTTTTTTCTTGTACACCCCATTCAGTGTTGTTTTTTGTTAGGAGTAGCTGTTGCCTTGAAACAAGCCAAGAGCCAATCTTGGGAAAACTTGGCTGGTCTTATTTCTTTGCTTCAGAAATTGGGGACTATTCGTCCTCGTTTCTGAAGTTTTGTGAGTATTAGCTGAGCTCCTCTTGCCAACCATTTGCCTGCTGATGCGTCTTAATGCTAGTTAAACTCCAGTGACATCTTGAAATCAGTTTTGTTTGCATTGCTGGGTTGTTTTTGCAAATTAATTATTGACAACGGACTCCCCAGATGCAGAGTTTACAACATGAAGAGGTCATTTTCTTGATGGCGCTCGGTTTAAGAAAGAACATGAAGTTGGTGTCATGAGATGTTCTTATGTGAGGGCGAGGGTGTGTGTCTCAATGGATGCCTGACACACACATCCCCCGTCAACTTCTGAATCTAGCCGAGAAGAACATCCTATCTGTATATCGTTTTCAAGCAGCAACTGAGATGACCAACATGCAACTGAAGTCTCTTTGTGGAATTTGTATGATGATCTGCTTCTCTGTAAAGAAAAATCAATGTGTATATAGAAAACTTACTTTGCCGCTGAGAATGGTTCTATTTTTATTTTATTTTTTGTCTTCATTCCTTGGATGGTTTCTGTGCATAGAGGGTCATGCTTGGGAAGCATTCTGCCAGCCCTTGCTTAGCTTTCAAATGGCACAGTCATCTAGGTGCTGCTGTATCTGGTGATTGTGAGAACAAGGCCATAATCACGGCAGTTCCTATAAGAACTCCCAAGATGGTAAAACAGACGCACAGTGTCTTGTGAGTGCCTCCTCTACTCTAGCCCCTTTGGGGGGACTGGAAATCCCAGAAATGCCACTTACTTATTTTTCCCCTTGCAGTTCCAACGCGGCCTTTCTCAATGGGCTCCAATCACATATCAGGAAAGGCTGCTCTAGCAGAACAAGCAAGTGCCCCCACCCCCAAATGGCTTTAGCTCAAAGATTTTGCTGCTTTCTTAGAGTAATCCATCTTGGAGGTCTGCTCAGTGGCAGTTGGTCACGTCTGATAGAACACAAAACATTACATATGCTCTTCAGCAACATATCTCTGCTCACAATTTGGCTTTTTTTCTTCTTCTGAAGAGTTGTGGGGTTCGAGTTCATGATATACTTGCAAAGATTACATTCAAGTGCTTGCTTTTTACAAAGTGGATTGGGAGAAGCAATAAACATGAAGCTGAGAATGTGATGCCCTAAGTAACTGCAGCGAGACCCATCAGTTCCTGGAAAAACAGCCCTAGCCGATTACTTGTAACTGAAAAATCACTTGGTAGTTGAACAAATGCAACTGTAATGGGTTGATGGTACACTTTAATTATTCACAGGTATATTTTTGCCCATAGTTTCACTTAAAAGGGCCATGTTTGTGATGGGGCTCTCCTGGAGTTGCTAAATTATAATTTCTAGCAGTCTTAGTGTTGGTAATTATGAGGAATAATCACTGTAGCTTGCAGTTTTTGTCAGAATGATGAAAGTGGTATTCCAGTGCAGGATCATAAGTTCCACCCCTTTGGGGTATTGTGTGTGATGTCATGAAGCTCACAGAAAAGGGACACCGCTTGCATTGTGATGCCACAGCACTACTCATTAGTCTGACCCATCTGCAAATGCTACTGCCGAGAAAGTTGGAAACTGTAGTTCAGAACTCTGGAAGGCCCAGAATCCCTGAGAAATACACAAGATAACGATTGGTCAGGGACAGATCGATTCACTTGCCAAAGTTGAATCTAAAACCATTACTATTATTTAACCGGTTCCCTCCAGCTGCCAGAAATGTCAACATTATGCCTTTAACCAGGGCATTGTATTTGTTGTCTAAAAGTCTGTTTTAAATAAATGAAATGACCAGAATTTTAGCGTCTTGGTTTTCTTTTGCATGAATCTAGGTTTGGTATTTTCTGGTGGGAAAAAGAAATTAAGATGAGAATGTGCATATTTAATCCATCCTTGCTTCAAGGAACTGAGGAACATGGATTGTTTTTTTCACTTTTAATAATTTTGTGAGGTAAAGCAAGCCTGGAAGAATATGGTAGTAGAAAACCATCTGTGTTGTCCCCAGGAAAACAGAATAATGTGCTCATGTTACCAGGAGTTGAGGTAGAGATAGCCCTTGTCACCTAGAGGTGGTTGTATATATAGTGGAAATATAGTGCAACCTCATGCAACAGTTATCCAAATGGCACAAATGTTTTGTGTTCAGATGAATGCTACAGTGTTACAGAAGGTGCAGCTAATCAAAGACAACTTTTAAAAGGAAAATAGAACTGCATATTGTATAGGGTTATAACACCAAATTCTCTTTAGTCTTTTTTTTTGTTGCAAAAACTAATGACCAGACACAAAACAAATATTTCATCGTTAGCCAGATTTCTTTGTGATACAGTAGTTATGAACCCTAGGTTAAAGCTTTTTACTTAAATCCATGAAGCATCTTATACAAGGGGTGGAACACCATGCAGTTTGTCAGCAGTTGCAACTGTAACTTACAAAACTATGCAAGTTACAAAGTAATTTGTAAGATTCAGGATACATGTTGCAGTAAAATCTTGTCACTTCTCTGGTTAAATCTTCCTATCGACCAGATCAAAGGTTTGGTTCAAAGGTAAAAGTAAAAGTTGTAAAGATTTCTCTGCTTCTCGAAGGAAAACAATGGAGTAAGACTGCGTAGCAGGTATGTGCTCAACATACTCAGCTTTGTTCCATCCATCTTGCAGATCCCAACTGGACTTCCTTCGTTTTTTTTTCCCCCCCTTGAAAATGTTTCGCTTCTCATCCAAGAAACTTCTTCAGAAGCCAGAACTGAAAAAGCTGCTCGGATGAGAAGCGAAACGTTTTCAACGGAACCCCCCCACCCCACAAAAAGTCCCAATTGTCTTTTGAAAAGCACCTTTGGGACAACCATGACCTGGAAATCCTGGGGAGTTTTTCCTTCCCTCTTGAAGCAAAACTGCTCAAAGGTTAATATTATTTCAAAATAAATTACACCAAACATCCGTCCCTCCTCAAAACCGGAGTGAAAGAACATTTATGCGCTTGCTTCCAATTATATATTTATTTTTTAACAAGATATTCTCGTTTGCGTAGACGGTGCCCGTTTGCTGAACTAATGAAGCCCCCACAGCCACTTCCGCGGCAAAACCGGCGCGGGTGGTTTTCACATCCTGCCCCCTTTCCTCTTGCCCCGCCTTTGCGCGCCCCTTTCTCAGCCAGGGCAGTCTCGCGGGATCGCCTTTGTTGGGCTATATAAACCCAGCGGGCGCCTCTCTCGTTCTTTTCTCGCCCGGCCTGAGAGGCGTCGTGTGTCTCTTTGCAATTGCGGCTCCTTTGCATCAGGCCGCGGCGGGAGACGGGGAAGATGGCGGGGCGCAAGAAGAAGCTGGCGGGCGAAGGGAACGAAAGCCGGGCCCTCCCGCAGGAAGCCCAGCAGCCGAAGGGAAGGCCCGGAGGCCTTGCCCGTGAAGGGTATATGCAGGGCGCAGGGTAAGGGTCGAAACTCCCGCGTCTTTTCTCGGCCCCTTAAACTTCGCGCCTCCGAAGCAGTCTGTGCTTTAGGATGGTCAACACAGGGGGGTAGAGCGCTCTCTCACCGAAACCTGGGGCGGGGTTGGGTCTCCGCCTTCGGATCCTGTCGTGAGAAACAACGCTTTGGGCACGCGGGATGTATATTATAAGGGCAAATCCCGGGCTTTGTTACGGGATTGGCAACGGCAGGCGGGAAGGATACTTCGTTATTAGTCTCAACTTAGATTGTATTCCTATGTAGAAACTGCCATTCGATGTACGGCTATTAATTGAGTTATCATAAATGACCAAGAAACGAGGGTAAGGTGACAAAATTTACTATAGCTGAACTTGCTCTATATAACCAACACACACAAACACACAACCCTCTACACGGGAAAAAAAGGTTCAGATAGGCCTGGTTAAGGTCTATGACAGAGATCTCCAAATTTGGCAACTTTAAGACTTGTGGACTTCAACTCCCAGAATTCTCCAGCTGGCTGGAGAATTCTGGGAGTTGAAGTCCATAAGTCTTAACTTGCCAAATTTGGGGACCCCTGCTCTGTGACTATATTAATTGACTGTTTTGAGCTCTTTACATCAACATTTGTTCTTTTTTTTTATTCTGTTCTAGGCACAGACCCAAGGGATAACTTGTTTGCTTACAAAAAATGGCCTGTGATGAAATTGTTGGGTTTTGCAGAAGTGATTCTGCTGAATGAGAGGAATATAGTGTCTGAAGCAGCAGCTCTTCCTTCTGTTAGAAAACAATGGTAAATTTTCTTTCACTCTTTATCATGTGGATAAATTGCCTCTTTTAGTTCAGTTTATATACCTAATTAAGCTCCTGGCCACATTCTGGCTATCAGGCACCTCGGAGACTGTTACTTTTCTGTGATGCATCCAATTTCAAAGTAAGGTACCTATTTAGGTTAAACTCTGTTGATAATCCCATTCATTGGCTTGTGTTATTTTGGATTCATTGAAAGATTCTTTACTTTTAAATTCTTAAGACAATGGCTCCACCTTATTTTGCCTTCAGAAGTTGCGGATGCTTCATCATTGGAGGCTTTTAAGAAGAGACGGAGCAACATGTCTGGGATGGTATATTGAGCAGGCAATTGGACCTCCAAGGTCCCTTCTAATTCTTATTCTGTTTATTTCCTTGTAGATTTTGATTTTTGTTGACTTGATTGAGAAGCTGGTGAATGGGTTCCTTTCCTCCACCAGATCTCAAAGCATATCTGGAAAGGATACTTTTAAAAATCCCCACAATCTCAGATTCGGAAAAAAAACCCCCAATCTACAATTTATCCATTGCTACAACAATGGATAAAAAATTATCACTTGTGGAATTACCAACTTCAGCCAGTCGTAATTAGAGGTGAACCTATGTCTGGAATTCATCTCCCCCTTTCAGCTTTGCCCTCTTAAGGCTGATGGTGCTTTAAGTGGCCAATATAGAGGGGTAAAGTAAATTCTCTCTTAAACCCAGAGGTGAGGGCGAAACTTTTCTCTGGATCCTGTCGGGAGAAACAATTCTTAGTAAATGTATTATGCTAGAAGACCATGTTATTCAAGAATGGCCAGTGCTGTTATGAGAAACAACTTGAACTTTTTATTACACATCGTAATTTGAGTTGGGCTTTTAGAGTAGTTTGCTTCATGGTTCATATTTTTTTTTAGTGCAAATTAGCCTTTTACTGGCAGGTTATTTTCTTTTAAACCAGATGCCTGGATATTTCATCAAGTATCACTATAGAATTATATATGAAAAGTATATTTTCCTTATTTATATTCTGCTAGAATTGAAAGATTCCAGAGTACTATGCATTTCTATAGATTAAGAGCCAGTTTAGTGCGAGCTCATTCTCTTAGCCATATAATAATTGTAAAACAAATGTATAAAACTATTAAAAATATAAAACAATCATTAAGATATAAAAACTACATTACAATTTTTTCTTATTGCAATGGTATAAAAATGTTGAGACTCTAGAAAGAATGCAGAGCAATAAAGATTAGGGGACTGGAGGCTAAAATGGGAACTGCTGAAGAAATTGGGTATGTCTAGTTTGATGAAAAAAAAGACTAAGGATGATAAAGTGTCCCAATATCTAAGGGGCTGCCACAAAGAAAAGGAGGTCTGTCTATTCTCCAAAGCACCCGAGGGCAGGACAAGAAGAAATGGGTGGAAAATCATCAAGGAGAGAAACAACTTAGAACTAAGGAGAAATTTCCTGACAGAACAATTAATCAGTGGAACCGCATGCCTTCAAAAGTCATGGGTGCTGCAACACTGGAGATTTTAAAAAGAGATTGGAAAACCATTTGTCTGAAATAATACAGGATTTCCTGCCTGAGCAGGGGGTTGGACTAGAAGACCTCAAAGGTCCCTTCCAACTCTCTTATTCTGATACCACGTGCACAGGGGAGAATGAATATAAACCACAATGACAATCATTTTAAAATATTACTGGTTCCTTGCAATCTCCAAGCCTGAGGATATAAGCATGTATGGTGGGATTTCCAGAACATTAACAGGAATGGAATTAACCTCAAGGAACAGAAATGATTGTTTACTGCTTAATGTTTGGCTTCTGGGTTTTGGATGGCTTTCCCTCTTATTTTAAACTCGGTTCTAATAAATAAGGTACCTCCATGGGGCAATGTTAAAGGGTTATGAGGTTTATTTCAGATGAAGCATGCACTTGTTGGCACCATGAATGATCTATTTTTCCCCAATTTTTCATAGAAAGAAAACACCATATTGGTAAAGTGACTTGTGGCTGACTTCACTGAAGAATAATCTTGTGATGTCTAATTTAGCCTGAAAATATCTGGCTTCAACTTCATACTTGACCATGAATTTTTCTGAGTATTTGCTTTGTGCCCTAGAGCTGCAAGAAAAAAATACTGGATTTTCTTCATAGATAAGATGGACTTGGATCCATTGTTGTGGCAGATCATACAGGTATATTGGCAATCTGCTTGTCCTGTTTTGTTTTTTCATCTTGTAGATTTCAGAAATGTAGATGTAAAATAGATGCTCACCATCTGTTTCATTCACCTTTTCCCTCTTTGTTTGATAAAATTGGTCTGGGAGGGATTGCACATAATGAAAATGGCTTATTTTTCCTCCTCGCTTCAAAAGAAATTGATTGGAGGGCAGGGATGAACTGTATTCTGTATGACAAATGGATATCCACAAGCATTTATTACAAGATTCCTGTGCAGCATGCAGGGAAGAAGAAAGAAGGCACAGGACAGGACCAACTTTATGGCACACTACTATACATCAAAAACATTTCACAAACAGTAGAATGCAAGCAGGCATTGCACACCGCCCAAAGGCTACTATATGAGGACAGATCATGCATTGTAAAGATCACTTGAAGGGGGAGATATTTCCAATGTAATCTACCAGATCCCCTCTGGTAGGGCAGATGGGGAGGAAGCTAACTACTAGATTGCAAGAACATAAGTGAGTGGTCACACACAGAGATCCAAACTCATTGGGAGTCTCACATTGCAATGAACAAGGACATAAATTGAATTTTATACCATTAAGATTGTTGGCTGAGCAGTACAAAAATAGTTAAGTTATTGAAGCCTGGGAAATGGATCCCTTGTCAGTCAAAAGGAGTGCCAATTTATCAGCTTATTAGGCACTTAGATGAAGAACAAGGACTTGGCAATACAAGGAAACAGAATCAACTTAACGCCACACAGCCAGGCACCACATAAATACTATGCATCGATAGCCCATTCTGGTGAGAGGAAAGTTCCCTGAGGATGGGCTCCATCAGGAGTCTCTAAACCTGGAAGACTAATCTGGTCCTGGTGATTGACCCAGTTTGGATCATGTATTCTATATAGTTTTATACTGCTTTTTATTAATAATGTTCAAATATTGTTTCTCCGCTGCCCAGTTAAGATGAACAGCTGTATGATTTTCTGAAATAATAAACAAACCTGGTTCTACTTTCATACATTCTATTTTTGGGGAAAGACGGCAATGACCTCTTAACTCTAGTTTTACTTGAAATATGTTGATTATCTGGATCCAGTTTAATCAGGCCATATGATAATGACAGTAAGGCCGCTATTTGATAACTGATGGATGGCTTAAATGCAGCCATATGGATTAGTTGATACATTCTAATACCATTAATGTGGTAATGGGAACATCCTTGGATAGTGGTTCCAATTCAACTGTGTTTAAAAATTTTTGCTGGGAAGCAGTTTTGTTGCATCGTATGTAATTTGCTGGCCAGATACTAGGGTAAAAGAAGGAAAAGTATGCAAGCTTCTTTTTCTGAAGGGATAAACCATTTGTCCTGTTACATTTCAGTGGAATAATTCTATAGTGGTTAACCATTTTATGGGATAGTGCAACGTGACATTAAGGCTAGCCAGAGATTTGAAGTTCATGAGTGCATATCACATATTTGGGATATGGTAAGTAAGACACATCTTGGGATTGCCCATCAACTCTAGAGGGAAACTAAAAATTAAGGAATACGATCCTGCTCATTGCTCTTAAGAAAGCTGGAGGTGACCCACAATATTGTGGCATAAGCATTAACTGAAGGATAACACTGACTTCAGCCATGTTGCAAGTAGGATCCCCTATCCTATTGTAAAGCTGGTACATACAGGTCTCCCATCATTTCTGGGCACACAAAATTCTAGAATCTCAGGAGTCATGCATTTAAAAAAGTTTTTATTGCAAAAAGTAAATCCCCTTTCCATTCCAAATTCTAATAAGGGATATAGAAAATACAATTAGGATCATTCCATTAATCAAACACCTCTGTGATGGCATCAGCCTACAAAATGGAAGTACAATTGTACTTAGAAGTATAAGAAACTGGCAGGTCAGGTCCATTCTTCCCATTACCAGTTTCTGAACATATTGGCATGATATTCGCACCCCATGCTAGGCAAAATATCTCTATTTCTGCGTCATATGCTACACAAATTATATCAGTGCTCTTTAGGTGTAGTGAGGTGGTGAGGCAAAATCATTTCAGCAACCATCCACTGGCTTAGGTTTCTCAATCATGCAGCTGCCATCCAGGCAGAACGAAAGCTGCCTTTTTGGGTCTGCTCTCAGAAAGTGGGAAGGATAGCAAGGAGAAGTAGCAGCAAACTTGGGTTAAAATTCTCACACTACCTCCAATGTATGGCTTCATAAACCCAATCGCTCTTGCACAATCCCACCTCTAAGCAAGAAGACACATTGGTAAAATCAGAATCAAAACACTTATGAGCTGGATTAGGTAGCTCGAACAGATTTACAGATACACACTAAATATATCTCATAAACTTGCATATAAATAAGAAAAAGCCCAATATTATTTGTTATTAAAAATAAAGCTGCCCTTTAAATTGTACAAAACCAATTAAAAGTCTAGGGGGAAAAGTATCCTGCTTGCGATGAGCTTCAACAGCAAAAAATGTGTCAGGAGCATTTCCAAACACAAACTGCTAGGCTGCCTCCAAAGAACATGTAGAGCAAATTCTTCACTTCATGGGTGATTTCAAAGCCAAACCCTTCCCCAATCACTACGTGCCAGGAAGATCCAAATTTCTTGTCCATTGTCTCTTTGATCATCTTGGCAGCGCTCTGAAGGAAAAGTGACATGGAAGGGAACAGAAACCAAAAGGGGAAAAAAAAGTAACAAGTTACTAAAATGGAATGTACTTTTTATCTCACAAAATATTACTAGATCAAAAGGTGTGGACTGTTCCAGCAGGTAGCAACATCTGGGCAATGTTGGGCAGCAAAGCTAAGCAGCCCATAGCCTTTGATATCCAGGAAGAACAGGGCTGTAATCTAGATGAAAAAAAATCCAAAAACATTCTAAAAAGGTAGTAGTAAGCCACATCTGTACTCTTGCCATGAAAACCACGTCCTTATTCAGGAAGTCAGGAGCTAAATCTGACTTGATTTTTTTTTTGAGGATTGCACAAAGGAATAGCCTGAGCTGCAGGTAAATATGTGTTGATACCTGATCACTCACAAAACAGTTGATAGGAGTAAATTAGCATGCAGGTGTCCTGGACTTACGATCTTTCATTCAAAGTTAAAATGGCATTGACAAAATGCCACAGCTTCATTTCATTATTGCAACGCCCCCCTGGTCATATCAAAATTCAGATGCTTGTTAACTGACATGCATTTAAGATAATTGCAACAACCTAGTGTCGTGTGATCATCATTTGTTACCTTCCCAGCCTGCTTCTGACAAGCAAAGTCAATAGGGGAAGCTGGACCCACTTAACAAACACACGATTCACTTAAGAACTGCAGTGATTGGCTTAACAACTCTGGCAAAAAAGAAAAAAGGTGAAATTGGACATGACTGACTCAACTGTCCTGCTTAGCAAGAGAAATTCTGGTTTCAATTGTGACTAAGTCCAGGGCTACCTGTACTTATTGCCAGAATAGTTAACACAGTAACAAAATATTTTTATCCTACTTGCTCCATCAGTTGAAATATTAGGAACACAAACTCCTACTTTCTTCCTGACCTTGCTTAAATGACATCTCCTTGCACGAATGTCGGTGGGGGAAAGCCCCACATGTACTGCTTTGTCCTGATCATTGAAGAAAGCACCACAGCTTCTCTTCTGCAGCCATATGCGCTAAACCAGTGCCTGTAGGAGTCAATGTCATCTGAGGGACATAGGTTGGGAACACAGTTTATCTATCTCTGAGGGAGATGGTCGGTTTAGAAATAGGAAACATAAATATATAAAATCTAAAGCGCTTGCGTGATGAACAGAGTTTCCTGGATGCTTGAATGGAACTTAGCAGGCATTTTTCTGCCCTAAATAAGATTCCAATTCCTCCAACGGAAACAACTATGTGCAAAGTGAGGGGGCTACATTCATGCAACACGGCTGAGACAGTTACAAAAACATCACCAGAGTTAACACTAATCATATTATGCAATGCTAAGTTTTAACATAAAAGGATCGTGTTGGGGGGAAATGCTCTATTATCATTTCAGTATAGAAAGGGGTTTGGCATCAAAGGCAGAGGTAAAGAGGGCATTCATACCAGCTTTTTATATATATAAATAGCATCAGAATCTATAAAAACATAGATCTATTGCTTCTCCTATTACCTTTCCTTTTAGGAAGAGGTGGTTAAAAATTAATTCAAGCATATCTGGTGTAGATATACAGGTTTTAGTGTCAGTACCTCATTGTTGGTGGCATATTTTTCACATGCAGTGACACATAATTCCATGGCCTCGACTCGCATTTCTTCTGGCATGTCTGAATGCTGGGGAAAAATTATAAACATAGAGGATCTCGGTCAGCATTAAGTCAGGATTGGTTAATGCCTATTAAATCATAATCAGATGCTAAGACATGAATAGAAGGATTCAATTCTCTTCCACTAAATTTGCCTTTATTCATTACAGACAATTAAGCACAAAGAATAGCAATCTACAGACTTTCTCCCCAGTGATCCTTGTCTCCCCCCTTTCTCACACAAATGTCGCACAAGGGGGGGAAAGCTTCACACGTGCCACTTAGTCATGGTTAATGAAGAAACTCTCACAGCCTCTCTCCTGCAGCCATTTGTGCCAAGCCAGTGCCTGCAAGAGTCAACACTCATTTTTGTCTTTAATGCAAAAAATCCTTAAGTGTTTTCTAGTCACCAATAAATGCAATACTGTCTTCTCTTTAATCAAACAAATAGCCATTTCAGCATATTGATCATGTTCACCAGCCATTCCTCTGTTGTAGTTACCACCAATTTTTTCCCATCTTCATGCATACAAAATTCTTAAGCTTACCTAAGACCTTGGAATGATCCTCTTAGGCCAGCTTTAGAATGAGCCACATTTCATCATTCAAAAATGGAGGGGAGAGTAGACTCTCCTTGATTAGAAAACTTTGCAAGCATTATGTAACACAAAGCAGTATCAGCTTCCTTGGGTCCATAGCAAAGATTTCTTCATCATAGATACACGATAGAAAACATGGCTAGATAGCATACAAAAGAGCCATGAAAGATGATGATGATGCTTACTAAGCTACGAGGGTCAGAAATGCACATTTTGATCAGGGGTGCTCTGTGTACCTTGGGTAATCATATTTTCACAGATAAACTAATAATTCTTCAGTCACTATGGCAACTACGGTAGTTGTCTCCATCCTTCCTCTCACTCTTCTGGTTAGATTTTGTGGCAAATTTAAGATATAAAAACAGCATCAAATTTCAGTATTTCCTGATTGGGAATGTATCATCTTTCTTCACTTCCATCCTTACCCTAATCAGTGGAAAGCTGTGAAGTCTCTTATAATCTGCTTCTTCTTTTTTCCCCTCCCCGGTGTCTGCCATTGTTTGTCCACTGTGATTTCAAGTGGGGGCAGAATATCTTGAATCCCGTATAGGCTAGCAATGTGAATTCAGGTCAGTTTTGGAAAAATACCTTTGGCTATATAGAAAAATAAAGGAAAAAAACAATATAGCGTAATATTTAGTATATAATACAGGCAAACCCTTTTAAGAGAATAAAAATAAGCGGTCATTTAAATGACAATTACATTTGTCTACAGGTTTTTTTTTATTCTAATATTGTTAAAATAAGCAGGCTTCAAATAGTTACAATAATGAAAAACTTGAATTATGGTGCCTGTGATAATCTCTTTGACTAAATTATTGCCACTTGTTAAATTCCATATTGGGAGTCAGAGTTTCAGAAGCAGCAAGTCATGTATACATTTTTTTACTCTTTCAGATAAGGAACTAGCTTAGCTCTCTTTTCCCCCCAGTGGAATTAACAGCTAATGACTTGGTCAATCTGGTGCAGTCATTTATTTTAAACATTTAAAGTGTAGTATAAGAAGAAGGAAATCTCTTCCTGGAGAATCTATAAATCAGCTATCTTTAGAGTAAGAGACATTAGTCTTAGAGGGAACATTAGTATCTTTCAGTGTAAGCCAGTTTCAAATAATGAATTTCCAAATCACCAAGACATTATTCTGTAGCTCCATAAAAAATAATGGAAGATGTGGATAAGTAAGAATTAGTCTATCATCTGGGCACAATACTGGGTGATACTAGGAGGATATCAACATGCTGCATTCCTTCTAAAAATATCACACATCATCATTCAGTATGCTGTTTATAGGCAACACACGGTAGATACTCCATACACTTGGCATATGATACATTTAAAAAATTTCTTTCAAATGAAAAATCTTTCATTGCAAATTGTAAGAAGCAACTACTAAAGGATGAACAGTAAAATAAATCGAAATACAAAAATGCAGACAGTAACTCTGCCTCCTTGGAAAACAAAATTTAAGAAACTGGAAGGAATTACCATCTTGCTATCCAAATGCTGGAATCTTAGGCAAATAACCTTCCATTATTATCAAAAAAATGTTAATGTTAAGATTTTTTTGTGTCTTACAGGACAAGTGATTTTCAAGGTACTAGGACATTTAAAAAATGATCTTTTAAATATTGTAACTGTAAAACTGTTATCTTTGTATAAAAGATATTGTCTTGTATCATTGTATCATTCTTTTCTTGCTATGTTGTTTTTGAATTATTCTGTAAGCCAACTGTTTCAATAATCTTGAGACATTAAGGTTGCATAGCCTCCAAGTAAACTATCCCACTGTGGTTTCCCCACAAAATTAGTGAAACACGGTTTCACCAAGTGGCAATTGTAGCAAAAACTATACTGTGGGTTAATAACTTTCAACCATTCCCTTCTTTTGAAAACCCATAGCCTGAGGTTAGAGGTGGTGACTCATCTGTGTATTTAGATATACAGATGATACACAAAAATAGTAGTAACTTTTGATCTGACTATCACATGGAATCAGAATCAATCCAATGTCCTATTGAGGCACAATCAAAAGATCCATTTGGGTGACTTGATCTTGGATCCCTTTCATTTATAGAATGAAAAAAAAAGGGAAAAAAATAAGATTCTGCGGTCCACTTCATTGCTAAGGAGAATAGTTCCTTATCTCTTATAGTTCTTTATTCCTTATAGTTCCTACCCACAATCAAATAACAAGGCCTGCTATTTTATTCATTCAAAAAAGTACATTTCCAGACCCAGAAAGCTTTCTATCTAGGCAAGGGCTAGGCTCCAGCTACTCATTTCGTGGGGGCAAACAGACACTCTGCACATGCTCAAAGGTTCATTTCCCCCCCCTCTTTCCCCCACAATTCAAGGTCGGCGGGAGAGTAAACCACCTCTTCAGATCCAGACCTAACCGAAGGCATGCCTGTATACCTTAAGTGTAAATCCGAATTTCCTCTCACGCACCTCCGAAAGGAGCGGCGAGGAAGAACCGCAGAGCCGGCTGAAACAATGATTCGGCTGCCTTCTTTTAGAACCCAGGCGAGCCGCTTCATCTTCCCGAGCCCCGCTCAGATGCTCGCCTCCGCCCGCGGATCATACACGGGCTGGAATGTGGGACAGTCCCACCCAGCCGCTCTGGAGAAAGGAGTCCTCTAAGACCCGGCTAAAAGCAGCGGCGGGCGGCACTCTCGGGAGGACCAGACCCGCCAAAGGAAAGGCGTGGGGCCGGTGAACGCCGCCCGGTCCAAGGAGGAAGCGAGAAGCGGCTCCGTCCACGCCGGGAGCCCCAAACGAGCACTCGGCGGTACGTCTCACCTGCGTCACCTCGACCCCGAGCCCCCCAAAGCCAGACTTCTTGCCGTTGTTAAGGAAAGAAACGTGCTTGTCTTAGCAACCGGCGCCGGAAGTCCCGCCTTCCGATTTGCCATTGGGCGGCGGTAAAAGGTGGAGAGCACGGATAGGGTGCAAGTATTGCCTATATGCGGAGGGGACCTAAGTCACCTCCACAATTTTATTGGGACATGGAGTGATAGGTGTCCACAATCTGCCTAAAGAGATTAGTAGAATAAGTTTGAGAGGGAGAGAAGTTTCTCTCTGTTTCGTAATTTATCCTGTAGAAAACTAGAGGAGAGTTTCATGCGAAGATATAATTACGGCATTACATAGATAAGCACACTGGACAACTTTTGTTCTCCCCAAAGTGAGTTAATTGAGTGCTCTCCTTCTAGACACAACCCCAACTACAGATTATTTTGTTCTAACTAGAAGACCTCCAAGGTCCGTTCCAACCTGAGGATTCTGTGATTATGTACTTTATTCTTGGAATTGGAATTGGTATTGAAAAAAAAATCTCATCAGGGGAGTAACACCAATCTGGTTATCAATGAGATCTAGATCTTTTTAAATTAAATAGATTGATTTAAATTTAAAGGGTCACTTTCAAGCAAAATAAAAGAATTAAAATTAAAAAGGAATAGGAAGGAGGGTTAATATGTTGTGATCATATAGATGGAAAACATACCGTAAATATACTGGTTTGTCATTTGTAAGATTCAAGAAAATGTGACCAAATTCTTGCATATATTTGCTTTGCTTTTATATTAGTGTAAAGGTTCAAACAAAGTAGGGAAAGCACTATTATGTAAGTAGAGAAGCAACTTTTTAAATATCTTTGAAACAGCTTTTGGCTAGCTGTATGCACATGGTCTTGTGTGTAGATCAGTGGAAGATTTTGAATAGTAGAATATGCAAGTTATGTTGGATAATCTCCCAGTACTTTTAAATTTGCACTTCTTGGACAATATAGCAGTTAACAATCATTTATACAAGCCTGTGGAAAAGTATATCAATTTTGAAACATTACAGAGCTGGTGATACTAGTTATTATGTTTATGTTATGTTATATTATATTATATTATATTATATTATATTATATTATATTATATTATATTATATTATATTATATTATATTATATTATATTAT